CGTGACCATCAGCTTGCAAAGTAGGGCGGGCACCAGGAACACCAGCGCTATTGTTGGGATGGTGATGTTCTGCCAATTCTGGTATTGGTATCCGCTCGCCCATTGTGCGAGTCTAGCATTCCAGCCAACTGGGATCATCGGCTTGACCGAGGATCTCAAAGCTCCCAAATTCGATTTCATCTCGAACGCGAAGCCCAGCTTGTTTGCATACCCATCACTGATGAAACCTCCGAAGAAAGAAACTACTGCGAAACTTACAACGGCGGTTCTTTCCACTACTGCAAAGTGAAGGCACGGGAGAGGAGAAAGGCCGCCTCGGAAGATGTGACAGAAAGTGTAAGAGACTTATCCGCCCCTTTGGATCGTGTTGGAATCTAATGATTGGGCCAGGATGTCAGAAAGGAAGGCGACATTGAGATGAAATCCGAAGAAGTACCAACAGTACGGCATGGAGATATCTCGCCGATCAATGAATCCATCTCCATCTCGAATCTCCCTGAGGGCCAGTCCTCGGAAATCAGGGCGCCCAACAAGCGCAAAGAACAAAGTTGGGAAAGTCTTCCCAACTTCTCACGGGTCACTCCTGCGCAGTTCCAGTATGTTGTATTCCCAGCGAGCAGCCGCTATCAGCCAGTACGACCGGTGTCAGCACGGGAAACAGCAATCAAGGCAGGAAAAGGAGTGGCAGGTGCGCAGAAGACATCGCAGCCTGAGAAGTACGCCGGTGGAGGAGGTATTCTATTGCTGGTGGACGAGCGCCCCGGTGAACCACAAGAATTCATCGAGTTGAGCACGACTGCGCCTCCCGCGGCTCAAGCAGCACCGAGCAATGCTGGCACCACGTCCCGTAGCACGACCCGACCAGAACATTGCGCTTGACGCGAATGGCCCGAAGCAGAGGTGCCAGAGCCATTCGAGGTGAGCTAATGCATCAGTCTTGCAGTGGTCTGAGCTAACTAACGAGCCGTGAAAAGTACCCGTTTGATAACGATGACGATGATGAAAATGTTTAATGATTGTGAATTGAGATAATTTTTGTTTTAATTTACCAAAGGCGTGAGCGTGACGTGACTGGGTGTGACGAGATGAGGTTGTGGTCGCGTTTTCCCGGGGTTTTCATTCATCGCGTTTGTTGTGTTTTCCGTCCCCCCACATCATTCACTCAATGGCTGATCGCACGAACGCTAATCGTAGAGAGCGTGCGTCTCCCTTTCTGCCATCCCCGCCCCTTCCGATCTCTTGACACGTCCGATTATAGATTACAAGGCCAAGGCCCTGAAACAAGATGAACTGAGGAAACGGCGCGAGGAGCAGCAGGTCGAGATCCGGCGGCAGAAGAGAGAGGAAAACATTGCAAAGAGGCGCAATTTTGTTGCCAGCAGTGCTGTCGACTCTGATGAAGAAGCATCTTCTGGCGCTTGGGAGAGCCCTGTCCGTCTTTATTCCCCATCTTCGCCCACAGCCGCTTATCTATTCGGCAGCTCGACGAGGACATGATCACCGGCGTTTTTTCTGAAGACCCCGAACGTCAGCTTGATGCAACGACCAAGTTTAGGAAGCTTCTTTCAAAAGAGAAGAATCCACCAATCGAAAAGGTCATCGAATGTCGCGTCGTTCCTCGTTTCGTCCAGTTCCTGCGGGAAGGACACTCCATGCTTCAGGTGGGTGGCCCGCTTTCTTTCCTCACATCACCTCCTCTTGGATGCATCCTGAAGTTTCCTCGGACAGTTCGAGGCTGCCTGGGCTTTGACAAATATCGCGTCTGGCACCCAAGAACACACTCAGGTGGTGATCAAGGCCAATGCGGTACCCGAATTTATCAAACTCCTTTCGTCACCTGTGTTGGATGTCAGCGAGCAGGCCGTGTGGGCATTGGGTAATATTGCAGGTGATAGTCCTCAATGTCGGGACTATGTCCTCCAGCAGGGTGCCCTCCGCCCTTTGTTGAGCCTCCTGAGTGAAAATCACAAGATCAGCATGCTCCGTAATGCTACATGGACGCTAAGTAACTTTTGTCGTGGAAAGTCACCTCAACCCGACTGGGAATTGGTTTGTTTAGCATTTGTCGCCTCCTGAACACAACCTGACTATTGGATCATTATTAGATCGCTCCCGCTCTCAGCGTCTTGACAAAGCTCATCTACTCGGTGGACGATGAGATTCTCATTGACGCCTGCTGGGCTATATCCTATCTATCCGACGGTCCTAACGATAAGATCCAGGCAGTCATCGAATCTGGCGTGTGTCGACGCCTCGTCGATCTCCTTATGCATCCTTCCACATCCGTTCAGACACCGGCACTGCGCTCAGTCGGAAATATAGTCACGGGAGATGATTTGCAGACTCAAGTCGTAATTGCATCCGGCGCGCTACCAGCACTCTTATCTTTGCTATCGTCGCCGAAAGACGGCATTAGGAAGGAGGCTTGTTGGACTATCTCTAATATCACGGCTGGGTCACCTCCTCAGATTCAAGCTGTCATTGACGCCAATATCATCCCTCCTCTCATCAACATCCTTTCCAATGCAGACTTCAAAACCCGAAAGGAAGCATGCTGGGCGATTTCCAACGCTACATCTGGCGGCTTGCAGGAACCATCTCAGATCCGTTACCTGGTCTCGCAAGGCTGCATCAAGCCTCTGTGCGATCTCCTCACGATGATGGACAACAAAATCATTCAGGTCGCCCTTGACGGTTTAGACAATATCTTGAAAGTGGGGGAGAACGATAAACAGGCTGCGGGTCCGGGGGCTGTCAACAAGTATGCACAGTATGTGGAGGAAGCGGGTGGAATGGTCACTGTTCACAACCTTCAACAACACGACAACATCGACATTTATAAGAAGGCGTTCAATATTATGGACAAATATTTCCCCGATGAAGAGGAGATGGATGCTGGTGTAACGGCAGCTAACGTCGACGCTAGCGGCGCATTCTCTGTAGGTGCTTGGGTGTTGTTTGCGCTGCTTTGGCTGACAGGCCGTTCTCCTAGTTCGACGCTGCGAACAATGCCCCGCAAGGCGGCTTCAGTTTCGGCCAGTGAGGATGTACCCCCTGCCTATTAGCCCCCGTCTTCCCCTCTTGCTTTACGGTTCTTGTGCCGTTCATGTCCAATACACCATTCTTGCCTGTCACTTGTTCTAGTTAGCTGACGGTTCCTGTGAATTACACTCCCAATAACTGTACCCACGTTTCCGTCGGCCGTCATCCTTCTTTCTGTTTCATGATCGGACGACATTTCAAGCATTTTAGATATCTCATGTTGTGTTGGGAGTATACGAAGGGAAACATAAGCAATGTAGAAATGGTTTTGTTTTTGGATCTGAATCCGGGCCGGGCCGAGGGACCGATGCACTCGTCTCGCGCGTCACCCGCGCCGCAACGCCTTTGAATGGCTTCCCAAATCTTGCCTCTGGGTAAAGTTCCGCCGGATCCTTCACTACTCCCAACGATTGACGTAGACTGGTGGACAGAACTTATAGACAGGTGTATCGGTTCGCGCATATGGGTTGTCATGAAGAATGACCGCGAGTTCACTGGGACTCTTCTTGGATTTGATGACTTTGTCAGTGAGTCCTTCGATCACTTTCTCATCAGTTGTCGGAACGCTTTGCTCTTTTGCTTTTTCGACAGATATGGTCCTCGAGGACGTAACCGAGTAGTGCGTCTGGCCTCACGTGTTTTTTCCCTCTCACATCAGTCATTTTAACGTCCCATCGTTCGCACAAAGTGAAATAACACCGAACGGTCGCAAATCGACGAAACTTGCGCAGACTCTCTTGAACGGTAACAATATATGCATGGTATTTGCGGCACTTCTTGACGCGACCCTGGCCTTATAGTATTGACACGCTTTTTTATGTTTTAGTTGGTCCCTGGGAGCGACGGGCCAGAGGAGACGTAGCACACAATGGTGTTTTCTTGGCTACCAAACCCCCCATGATCTTGTATTGTGCACAGCAGCGAGTAGTCACACGTACACCCGCCTGAACAGAAAGCCGGATAATTTCATTTTGACTTCTCATCACCTCACCTCGGTTGAATGAGCATCATCATTGTCATCGAAATTCCAGAGTAGATGTCGATAGAAGTTCATCCGCGACTTCTCCAACATCGCCTGCCCCTCTATGCACTCACCCGCAAAACTCAGTGATGGGTCTGGGGGCCCAGCTGAGCAGGAGGCCTTCGATGCCCTGAAGAGGGCTGTCACCTCCAGTCCAGTCGCTTCCACTTCGAGTGCGATGCCTTGAACTTCGCAACCAGAGCCATCCTCTCCTAAGTAGGCCCAAGCAGATGGCACACAACTAGTCGCCTTCATGTCAAAGGCATTCTCTGATGTCTATTTACTAATAAATTCAACTTGGTGAAAAAAAAGGGTGTGAGCCAAATGTTTGGGAGACTGAACATTTAGCAACAAATAAGATTTTTGTTGGACTTTTGGTTGCAACCAAGAAACATGACTGTGGACCCTTAAAGCAAATTTAAGCAATGGACCTGATGTTGACCAAAGTGGCATCCAGGCTACATGCCCTGCCCATAATCCCATCACAATACACTGATACTCACTGAACCTGATACACACCTTTCATTACTAGTACACACCTGCCCTTGTGTGTCTTATACAGTAGTGATTGCACTCAGGACAATAAACTACATTTAAATAAAAAAAAACATGACTGCAGAATCAAGCCAATGAATGTACTGTACTCTCTCCAACCTTCTGCTACTACACCACACTGGCAGCTCCCTTTCTCTTTCCCTAATCTTTCACTCCCACCTAAAATGTCTATGTACAATCTTTGGTGCCTCATCAAAGGAAAAACCCCATTTCTTGTTACTGTACACCCCATGAAGTGATTTTAGTGTATCAGTTAATGGATTGATGCATCTTCTGGTTGAAGTTCAATTGGATAAACATCAATACAACCAATATTGGATGCTACTTCAGGCTGCATGTGTGGCATGACTTGGGTGCATGTTATATGCATTGCATGAAAAGTGGACCAGACTGGGAGTTGAACCCAGGCCATCTGGATATATACCAGGTGCTCTACCTATTGAGCTACCTAGCCATGGGTTATGGAGCAGGTTTTACATTTTTTCACTTGTTAGCTGCCTCCCCAAAGGCAAACTGTATACTGTATATATACAGTGTACCAGTGCAAGTTTACACACCCCTGGGACTTTGCATACACATAGGACAAGTCATGTAAATTTGGTCTGCTTCACATCCCAATTTTTTCTCAGCATCAGACCAGATATATCTGTTATTGTGCAAAATCTCACAGAGTTTGGATCAGGAATTCAACAGCTAAATTTATATCTGTTCATCATGTGTGAGATTTTACCAAACCTGCACTTTTATAAACAAGATTCTGGCCACAACTCTTAGTCATTGGACCAAAACTGAATCTCCAACAAGTTGATTAGCACCAGAAGTGCTGTTTAAGATCCTGCAATATGCATTGATCATGTCTTATGTCATGCTTCAAGTTCCCAGTCACAACCACTCTATTTGGCCCAATCATTCTATTCACATCCAAAGATACTCTCCAAGACTTGCCAAAGAAGCCAAAGAGGGGAACTCAAGCCCAAACCTCCAGTTTGGGCTGCTGCTGTGGTACCAGAGGGTGAGGAGGAACAAGAATCATCATCATTGGGTGACAGCCTGTCACTCAATGATGATGATTCACTGACAGACCCCCAACACATATTTCCCACAGGTCACAGGTGTGCAAACTCATGGTTTTGGCCTTTCCACATTCACTTTGTTACAACCTCTATTAGATACTTTAAACATAGAGTAAACAGTCTAATGATTCCACAGACTCAGTTTTTTGTTATTGGGATGAATACAGGAGCAATCACAAATTTACAGTTTGGTGTGCAAACTCATGCCGGTACACTGTATGTGCATTTATGGAGTGTGAGTCGCTGCGTGACATCCTGCGAAATGCTCCCCGTCATGAGGGTCTTTTCAATTGACCACGCCCCACATCCTCGACCACTAGGGTGACGAAAACCAAAAACTAGGGGCTCTGGGGTGTGACGCGTGTGATGCACACCGCAGCTTCTCTCTCATCAACCGTCATCAAGCTCTGAAGCATCGCTCGCTGTGTACAACTACCATGTAGGCTCTTCCCTTAGGCCTTACATATAGTCACAAACATTCGTGGGATGTAGAATGCCCTTCTCCACCGACACCGCCTGGCCTCAGGGCTTGCGCACCATCTTCGACATCTGTCGCCAGCAGCGCGAGTCATTGGAAAACCGTTACTATGGACCTTATGACAAACTGCTAAATTACTGCTTCGGCGACTCTTTCCAGTACTTCGTTGCACCGCGAAGCCCTCCCAGTGATCTCACCCTTCGTGACACGGTCGACTTTGTCGTCTTCCTCGTCGTTTTTGATGCGAATCGTCATCCAGTGCTCGTTGCCGAAATCAAGGACGATGCATGGGCCCACAAGGCTGACCTTCGTTCTAGTGCGGACGGCCAGATTCGTCGTCGGTATGACGCAATGCTTGGCGACTGTCCTCTTCCTCGTTTGTGGGGCTTGAGCTTGCTCGGCACGTCCCTTCGCGTTTATTGTGGAACCGTCGCCACAGAGACCATTGAACCCGACTTTGTGCCTCGCCCGAGCCCCAGCCGCATCCTGCCACGAGATTTTTTACAAGGCGCATGGGATATCGACATTCTATCGCCTGAAGGATTTAACAAGATGAAGGAGATTATCACCGATGTTCTTGCTGCTGCTGCTGCGTTGTAGGGAGAGGCATCTCTGTAGTTGTGGTGGGGCTGTGTGTTATTCTCATGTTTCGGCAATCGTTTCGTCCTGTAACAACCTGTACTATAATAAAAGGCTCGCATCTCCACCGCTTCCTAGCCGCCCCGGGATATCAATTCCAACATATCACCATTTTGAAGGCTTGCTGATTGAATTCGTCGCAGGACTCGGAAGAAACGAACCAAACAAAATCGACGTACTGTGTCTTCATTGCGCGACATCCCACAATGACTACGGACATTCTTATTCTCGCGGATTAGTATCTATTCTGTACCTGGTACCTGCATTTGGGTGGACGAAATTCCGGTTATCGTCAAGGTTATCATTCACGAAAAATCGTGCTTTCGTATGCTACTGTCCTCGGCGATATCGAACAACGTGCCTCAGCCAGGGAAATGCAACACTGCAGTGGGGGGTCAGGTCAACATATAGGGGAGGGTTTAAAAGCACAAGAGAACTCACCTGAGTCTAGTTATGTAGGTTGGTGGCAATTGCGCAGAAGTAGGTGGCTGCCTGCTGAAGTGGTGAAGGAGGGTTCTGCAGGCCAGATACAGGTCAAGCAAGTCAACCAGTCGAGAGGAAGCCAGCCAGATCAGCCACTGGCACACGCTCAGAGGGACTCGGAGGGACGGAACGGGAGAACGGACGCCCGTAGGTCACGTGAGGATTGGTCAGGATTGGTCGGACTGGTCGAATAGGGGAGACCCTGGGAATGACGAAGTTACCACCTCTACCAAGGCCAAAATCACGTGATCGAGTCCTCGCCTCGGACTTGGGACGCCCACCGAAGGTTGTTCTCAATGCCCGTCCGTCTCCGCTTTTCGTTACACGGTCGCAGAAACAACCGCATTTTCCACCTCGTCGCCATAGACCTTCGAAAACGCAGGGATGCGAAGCCCATAGAGCTCCTCGGAGTATACGATCCGCAACTGCGCCTCGGTCAAGAGCACAAGACGATACACTGGAGCGTGGAGCGAATAAAATACTGGCTCGAAAGGGGCGGGGCTCTCCCGAGCAAGCCGGTCGTAAAGTTACTCGAAAGGGTCCGTCCGTCCTAATCCTCCAAAAAAATGTTCATCGTCTTGAAAAATTGGCGTGTGTACCCAAATTTAAAAAAAGGGAGGCGTCATTCCCCCAAACTCAAAATATCACCCGAAATCGGATTCGCGGGAGGAGGCGAGTCCTGCCGTTTCAAGCGGGTCGGACCAAGTCGCCTCTCCATCTGCGCAGCCTTCGCCTGCATGAGGAAGGACAAACCTTCTGGGCCGGGGGGATATTGCAGACGCGTTCCTATGTATGCGGAGTGGGGTACGAAGTATCTACGTCACACGTCCCTAAACCTCATTTCACACTTTCCCCCTATGCTCATGCGCGCTCGAGCAAGGCAACGATATCGGGGCGCTGGGCGATGGTCGCCAATTCCGTAGCTGTATATCCATCCGTATCCTGCAATTTTTAGTCATTCGTTCGGAATAAGCAAAACATTTATTAATTCACACAGAGTTAGGCTCTGCTCTCACTTTGAGTGTTTTGTCTGCGCCATGTTTGAGTAAAAGTTCGACCGTGGCGATGTTTCCTCGATCTGTGGCCAAGTGCAGAGCAGTATATCCCTTAGAGACCCGTCAAACAACTACAACTTGGAGAGCTGCTGAACGCGTGAAAAAACTTACATATTCATCACGGCCATCAATATCCAAGCCCTCGCTGGCTTGGAGAAATGCCGACGTCGCAGCAACGTCGTCTCTCATCGCGTAGCCGTGCAGCCCCGTGGCACCTTCTTCATCCACCTGGGGCGCCGACATGACGCTGACGGAGACCCCCATCCCCGTTCCACCGCCCCTCCTCTCAGCCAGTTCTTGTTTTTGTTCTTCTGTCTCGCCCATCGCTGCCGCCGCGGGGGCGCCGACCTTCCACCCTAGACTCCTTGCGATCTCCAGATATCGGCGTTCTGCTTCCGAGACACGCCCCTCGTAAGTTTCAGCCGCTTGCTTCCACGCGTCCCATTTTGCGCGGCCAGCGATGTCAAAGAATGATGGGCGGCTTATATTCGGCGATGGAGCGACGGTGAGCAGCTTGAAAAGACCATAAAGCTACACGACATAAAACAACCCAGAAATAACATGTCAGGGAGTAGAGCTAGTCAACGAATGCGAGGAAGGACCTCCAGTTTTACAGAATTCGATACTTGCTCCGATGAAGATGCATTCGATAGATATGAGACGGCTTCCTCAAACACAGGCGATGGAGAGTACGAGGTCGTCATCTCGACAAGTGCGGGTTTAAAGTGCTTCACATATTCTAGGGGGCGAATAACACTCTATTATGTAACCAATAAGGGTTATGAACGCGCGGTATTTATGCGAGTCCAGCAGCTCGCAACGCCTGGATCGCAATCAGATATCAGAATCGGCCAACTTCGGGGCATGTCGTCACCCACCTTGACCATCTCAGACCCGATCTTTGCCGGACTGTCAGCCACGATAACACCAGCCTTTTCGAGGGCGGCGACCTTGTCGGAAGCAGCACCTGAAAGACAAAAAAAGAGTCAGCCAGGTGTGAGTGGCGGTGGGCAAAAAGTGAAGACTTGCCTTTTCCACCAGAAATAATGGCACCAGCGTGGCCCATACGGCGACCAGGGGGAGCAGTGCGCCCGGCGACGAACCCGACGACCGGCTTTGGCTTTGCGCGAGTAAGGTTGTATCTCTCAAGATATTCCGCGGCCTCTTCTTCCATGGTTCCACCAATCTCGCCGATGATAACGATACCTACCCTCATTGAGCAGAAACTCGGATTCACGTCAAGCAAACCCTTACCGTCTGTGTTGTCATCCTCGAGGAGGACCTTGACCACGTCGACGTGCTGCGTCCCGGGGAACGGATCGCCACCAATCCCAACGCAGAGGGATTGTCCGAGACCAGCATCCGTAGTCTGTGCGACGGCCTCATAGGTCAGCGTCCCAGAACGTGAAACGATACCTGCGCGCGCAAGCGACGTCAGATGAATTAAAAAAAGCCAAGTAATCAAACCGATCTGGCGCGCGTACCGATCCGACCAGGCTTGTGAATATGACCGGGTTGGATGCCCATCTTGCACCCCAAGGGATTGATGACGCCGGGGCAGTTGGGACCCACGAGGCGCGATTTGGACTGGCTTTTCAACGCATTTACAACCTAAAAAAATTAAACCAACGAGTAAAAAAAGAGTTCGTCATGAGCAGCAAAGGCGGCGTTACACAGACGCAAGACGTACACGGATTTCGTCCGCCTGTGGGATTCCCTCGGTGAT